CTGTCTGTCTGTCTGTCTGTCTGATTCGTGTGATGCGTGCGCGCCTGCGCACGTGCGCCTGCCCTCCTGCTTGCCTTCCTGCCTGCTCGTCCGCCCGCCCGCCCGCCCGCCCGCCGGAGCGCCGCCTGCCTGTGCGAGTAGGTCATGGTAGGTAGGCAGGTAAGTGGGTATGTAGGAAGGTAGGTTGGTGGAGCCTTGTAAGTCCGAAACCTCGTTGACGCCGCGGCCGCAGTGTTTGGCAAGACTCTCAACCCTGAACCATACTATCATGGGGGTACGATGATCAGCGTATTACGAAGCGGGTGCAATAAGGTTGCTATAAAGTCAATTCAAGCTGCTCCTCCCGAAGCCCGAAGGTTCGAAAAGCCGGGCCAGATCTGTTCGGTGCTGGTGCAGGGATGCTCAGACTCTGGGCTTCTGCAGTGTGAGGATGGTTTGGGGGCTATAGGGATCAGAGATTGTAATTCGGGTTTAGGGCTTTGGAATTAGGATCTTTCGGATTCAAGTTTCCAGAACGTAGCCAAAGACAGGAATCTGCAAGCGGCCTGTGGGGCTCCTGCCAAAACCCTAAGCCCCTCCCAAATCCTAAACCCTAAACCTAAACCCTGAAGCCATGAGCCCTAAACCCTGAACCCTAAACCCTAAACCCTGAACCCTAAACCCCAAACCCTAAACCCTAAACCCGGAACCCTCCAAATGAGACCTTCTTGGGCAGGCCGTGACCGGCCCGGCTGCCATTGGCGAGATCCGACGGGGCCTGAAGTACTTCAAGGTTTAGGGTCTAGTATTAGGGTTGAGGGTTCAGGGCTTGGGGTTTAGGGTTTAGGGTTTTGGATTTAGGGTTTTTTTAGGGTGTAGGGTTTCGGGGCCTCAAGGTGCAAGGCGTGGTTTTTCAATTTTTTTGTTGGGGTTTTTGCTTTGCAGGATACGGAGCTGCGCCTTCGAGAGTTGAGGATTCCAGGAGTCAGGGCTCCAAGTCTCGACAGTGACAGCTTCGAGAGGTTTAAGATTTTGAGGGCTTAGAGATCCAACAATCGGGTTTTCCGTGGATACCGCACCTCATCTTGCAGCAGTCTTGTTGATCCTAGCAAGGGCAGGTGTGCGTATTCGGGGGTCGAGTCGCTTTGCAACGTCTCCGCTGGAGGGTCCAAGCCAGTTGTGCTCCGCTTGCGGCTGGAGTTTAGGTTTCAGGGTTTAGAGTTTAGGGTGCCGAGTTTGGGGTTTAGGGTTTACCCTAAACCC